ACCTAGCTTGTCCCCCTCCCCCTCCCCCTCCCCCTCCCTCTCCCCCTCCTCCTCTCCCTCCCCCTCCTCCTCCTCCTCCTCCTCCTCCTCCTCCTCTTCCTCCTGTTCCTCCTCCTCCTGCTCCTCCTCCTGCTCCTCCTCCTCCTTCTATTCCTCCTCCTCCTTCTCCTCCTTCTCCTCCATCTCCTCCTCCTCCTGCGCCTCCTCCTACTCCTCCTGCTCCTCCTCCTGCTCCTCCTCTCTACTTTCCTCCTCCTCCTCCTCCTCCTCCCACCTCCCCCTGCCTCCTCCTCCACCTCCTCTCCCCTCCTCCTCCTCGTCCTCCTCCTCCTCCTCCTCCTCCTCGTCCTCCTCGTCCTCCTCGTCCTCCTCACTCCTCCTCCTCCTCCTCCTCAGCTCTCCTCCTCCTCCTCCTCCTCCTCCTCCTCCTCCTCCTCCTCCTCCCCCCCCTTGCGCCTCAGGACGGCAGGCCGAGGCAGCCCCCGCCCAGCCGCGCCGCGGCCGAGAGGCAGCCCGCCCGGGGCCACGGCGCGGCGCGGGCGGCGGCCAGGCCCGCGCCGCAGGCGCCGCGCCCCCCAGGGGGTCGGTGGCGACGGTGGCGGCGCCGACGCCGACGCCGGTGTCCCCGGATCCGATGGCGGTGTGCTCGCTCGCTCGCTCGCTCGCGGAACTTCGGCCAAGGGCATCTCCTCCTCCTCCTCCTCCACCTCCTCCTCCTCCTCCTCCCATCCTGCACCTGCTCCCCTATTTCCTGCTCCTCCTCCCGCCTCCTCCTCTCCTCATTCTCCTCCTCCTTCGCCTCTCTTCCTCCCCTCTTCTCCCCCCCCTCCTCCTCATCCTCCTCCTCCTCCTCCTCCTCGCTCCACCTCTCCTCCTCTCCTCCCCCCTTACTTCTCCTCCTCCCTTCCCTCCTCCTCCTCCTCACTCCTCCTCCTGATCACCCTCCTCCTCTCCTCCTCCCCTCTCCTCCCATCCTCCTCTCCTTTCCTCCTCCTCCGCCCTCGCTCGCCCTCCCCTCCTCCTCCACTCCTCCCTCCCTCCCTCCCCCCCTCCCCCTCTCCCGCCTCCCTCTCCTCCCTCCCCCCTCCTCCCCTCTCTCCCCCCTCCTCCTCCCCCTCCCTCCTCCCTCTCCTCCGTCCTCTCTCTCTCATCCTCCCTCCTCCCCCCCCCATCCCATCCCATCTCATCCCATCCCATCCTCATCCCTTCCCGTCCCTTCCTGTCCCTCCCATCCAATCCCATCTCACCCCACTATTCCATTCCATTCCTTCCCATTCCATTACAGTCCAGTCCAGTCCATTCCATTCCATTCCATCCCATCCCATCCCATCCCATCCCATCCCATCCCATCCCATCCCATCCCAGTCCATTCCATTCCATTCCATTCCATTACATTCCATTCCATTCCATTCCATTCCATTCCATTCCATTCCATTCCATTCCATTCCATTCCATTCCATTCCATTCCATTCCATTCCATTCCATTCCATTCCATTCCATTCCATTCCATGCCATGCCATGCCATGCCATGCCATGCCATGCCATGCCATGCCATGCCATGCCATGCCATGCCATGCCATGCCGTTCCATGCCATTCCATGCCATTCCAGTCCAGTCCAGTCCAGTCCAGTCCAGTCCATGCCATGCCATGCCATGCCATGCCATTCCAGTCCAGTCCAGTCCAGTCCAGTTCATCCCATCCCATCCCATCCCATCCCATCTCATCCCAGTCCAGTCCAGTCCAGTCCAGTCCATTCCATTCCATTCCATTCCAAGTCGTGAAGCAGTGTCGGGACTTGTTAGTTTTTCGACCCTGACCCCACTGATCTGCGTGAGGGGTGCCGCTGGCAAATCTCCTGTGTTTTTGGACCCTGACCCTACGGATCTGCGCGAGGGGTGCCGCCGAATTTCAGAAATTTGGCAAATCCCATGTGTTTTTGTACCCTGACCCTGCCGATCTGCGTGAGGGGTGCTGCCGAGTTTTAGAAATGTTGCGAGTTCGTATATTTTTGGACCCTGACCCCGCCGATCTGCATGAGGGGTGCCACCGAATTTCAGAAATGTAGCAAATCCACTGTGTTTTTGGACCCTGACCCCACTGATCTGTGTGAGGGGTGCCACCGAATTTCAAGAATGTGGCAAATCCCATGTGTTTTTGGACCTTGACCTTGCCGATCGGCGTGAGGGGTGCCGCCGAATTTCAGAAAAGTGGCAAATCTAATATTTTTTGGACCCTGACCTTGCCGATCTGCGCGAGGGGTGCCGCCGCATTGCAGAAATGTAGCAAATCCCATGTGTTTTTGGACCCTGACCCTGCCGATCTGCGTGAGGGGTGCCACCGAATTTCAGACATGTGGCACATCCCCTGTGCTTTTGGACCCTGACCCCGCCGATCTGCGTGAGGGGTGTCAATTTTAACCCACCCCAGCAATTCAGACAATACGATTTGGGCGTGGTGAAAATGCCCGTTTTGGGCCTCCCCCCTTCGCGCGGTTCATCAACAAGGAACAGTAAGCAGCAAGGAGTCAACAAGGAACAGTAAGCAGCAAGAAGCAGAACTGTAAAAGCGGAAACTGGAAGCTGCAACTGGTACAGGAAATTGCGAATTTCCAGCCTACAGCCTGGTGGCCCCACAAGGGGGCCGGCAGATTCCATTCCATTTCGTGCCATCCCATCCCATGCCATCCCATCCCATCCCATCCCATCCCATTCCATTCGATTCCATTCCATCCCTTCCCGTCCCATTCCATTCCATCGCATTCTATTCCATTCCATTCCATGCCATGGCATGGGTGGCATGGCATGGCATGGCATGGCGCGGCATGGCGTGGCGTGGCATGACATGGCATGGCGTGGCATGGCATGGCATGGCATTGCGTTGTATCCCATACCATCCCATTCCATTCCATTCCATTCCATTCCATTCCCTTCCATTCCCGTCCCATTCCATTCCGTTCCATGCCATTCCATTCCAGTCCAGTCCAGTCCAGTCCAGTCCAGTTTCTGTCCATTCCATTCCATTCCATTCCAGTCCAGTCCATCTCATTCCATTCCAGTCTGGTCCAGTTCAGTCCAGTCCAGTCCAGTTCATGCCATGCCTTGTCATCTCGTCCCGTCCCATCCCATTCCATTTCATTCCATTCCATCCTGTTTCATTCCATCCCATTCCATCCCATCCCACCCCATCCCATCCCATCCCATCCCATACCATCTCATTCCAGTCCGTTCCATTCCATTCCATTCCAGTCCAGTCCATTCCAGTCCAGTCCAGTCCAGTCCAGTCCATTCGATTCGATTCGATTCCATTCCATTCCATTCCATTCCATTCCATTCCATTCCAGTCCAGTCCAGTTCAGTCCAGTCCAGTCCAGTCCATTCCATTCCAGTCCAGTCCATTCCATTCCATTCCAGTCCATTCCATTCCCTTCCCTTCCCCTTCCTTCCCTTCCCTTCCCTTCCCTCCCATTCCCCTCCATTCCATTCCATTCCATTCCGTTCCATGCCATTCCATTCCAGTCCAGTCCAGTCCAGTCCAGTCCAGTCCAGTCCAGTCCAGTCCATTCCATTCCATTCCATTCCATTCCATTCCAGTCCAGTCCAGTCCAGTCCAGTCCAGTCCAGTCCAGTCCAGTCCAGTCCAGTCCAGTCCAGTCCATTCCATCCCATCCCATCCCATCCCATCCCATCCCATTCCATCCCATCCCATCCCATCCCGTCCCACTCCATTCCATTCCATTCCATCCCACCCCACCCCACCCCATCCCGTCCCGTTCCATCCCATCCCATCCCATCCCATCCCATTCCATTCCATTCCAGTCCATTTCATTCCAGTCCAGTCCAGTCCAGTCCAGTTCAGTCCAGTTTCAGTTCACCTTCAGTCCAGTCCAGTCCATTCCATTCCATTCCGGTCGGGTCTGGTCCAGTCCAGTCCAGTCCAGTCCAGTCCATGCCATACCATGCCATGCTATGCTATGCCATGCCATGCCATGCCATGCCTTGCCTTGCCATCCCATCCAATCCCATTCCATTCCGTTCTATTCCATTCCATTCCATCCCATCTCCTTCCATCGCATCGCATCGCATCCCATCCCATGCGAGTTCATTCCTTTCCATTCCATTCCATTCCATTCCGTTCCGTTCCAGTCCAGTCCAGTCCAGTCCAGTCCAGTCCAGTCCAGTCCAGTCCAGTCCAGTCCAGTCCAGTCCAGTCCATCCCATCGCATTCCATTTCATTCCATTTCATTCCATCCCATCCCATCCCATCCAATCCCATCCCGTTCCGTTCCGTTCCGTTCCATTTCGTTCCGCTCCATTCCATTCCACTCCATTTCATTCTATTACATTCCATCCTATTGCATTCCAGTACGTTCCAGTCTATTGCATTGCAGTGCATTCCATTCCATTCCATTCCGTTCCGTTCCGTTCCATGCCAGTCCATTTCATTTTATTGCACGCCATTCCATTCCATTCCAGTCCATTCCAGTTTACTCCAGTCCATTCCAGTCCAGTCCATTCCAGTCCATTCCAGTCCGTTCCAGTCCATTTCATTACATTCCAGTCCAGTCCAGTCCAGTCCATGCCATGCCATCCGTTGCCATCCCATCCCATCCCCTCCCCTCCCATTCCATTCCGTTCGATTCCATCCCATCCCATTCCATTCCATTCTTTTCTTTTCTTTCCCTTTCCTTGCCATTCCATTCCATTCCATTCCATTCCATTCTAGTCCAGTCTCTTCCAGTCCAGTCCATTCCAGTCCAGTCCAGCCCATTCCAGTACAGTACAGTCCATTCCATTCCGTTCCCCCTCCTTCCCAAGTCCTTTCCAGTCCAGCCCAGTTCAGTCCATTCCAGTCCATTCCAGTCCATTTCATCCCATTCCATTCCATTCCATTCCATTCCATTCCAGTCCAGTCCAGTCCATTCCAGTCCAGTCCATGCGATTTCATTCCATTCCATCCCATTCCTGGCCATCCCATCCCATCCCCTCCCCTCCCATTCCATTCCATTCCGTTCCATTCCGTTCCGTTCCATTCAGTTCCATCCCATTCCATTCCACTCCATTCCGTTCCGTTCCATTCCAGTCCAGTCCAGTCCAGTCCATTCCATTCCAGTCCAGTCCAGTCCATTCCAGTCCAGTCCAGTCCAGTTTCAGCCCACTCCAGTCCAGTACAGTCCATTCCATTCCGTCCCCCCTCCTTCCCCATTCCAGCCCATTCCAGTCCATTCCAGTCCATTCCAGTCTATTTCATTCCACTCTATTCCATTCCCGTTCATTCCAGTCCAGCCCAGTCTAGCCCATGCCATGCCATGCCATCCCTTGCCATCCCATCCCATCCCATCCCCTCCCATTCCGTTCCGTTCCATTCCATTCCGTTCCGTTCCATTCCAGTCCATTCCATTCCAGTCCATTCTATTCCATTCCAGTCCAGTCCATTCCAGTCCAGTCCAGTCCAGTCCAGTTTCAGCCCATTCTAGTCCAGTCCATTCCGTTCCCCCTCCTTCACTATTTTGCCCGCCCCCCCCTTCCCCGAGGCGCGCCCGGAGGCGCGCGGCGTCGCCGCCGC